GAGAGCTGACATGACAGACTACTCATAAAAATGTCAAGTGCCTTTAAGTCTGCATGATGTAATGTAACCTACAGAGTATGCCTTGCATTTGCAAGAAGAAGCTATAAAAGGTGAAATTCTCTGTGAAACATTTGAACCAACACACAAACATAGACGGGATTGTGTTGTGTATAATAAGCAACTGTAAGGCTGTAAATCCTGTGTGTAGCTATGGCTTTAGGTGTTTATCTAACAGAGCGTGCCACCCTATGAGCAATGCAGATGAGAGAATGGGAAAAGAAAAGATGAGCCCTTTGGGTACCGTCAGTCCAAACCTCTTATTTTTATGAAAGGTTCAAAAGTGTTTAGATTTAAAGAAGTGATTTTACCCAGTTATGATTTTCAATAAACATATTTATTAAGGAAAAAAATGTGCCCCCCACCACGGTGCCAGTTCTACTTTCACAGCATAGGAAAGGAAAACAATTACTGTGATAGCATTTATCAACAATTGCCTCCTTTTCAGCACAAGCTCTTCAATTTTCACAGCGCTCAGTGGTGTCGTGTTTTAATACAAAGTACCTTTCACTTCAGGAAACCTCAGTTCTAAACTGGCTTGTCACAAGTGACATGAATGTGTGGTCTCAGTTTAGTCTCCAGTGGACAAATGTCCTTTTAACTAAAACAACACACAGTTTGGTACAACTGGCAGTCTGCGCCCTTATTTCACTTCATTGTGGGTTGGTATTAGAACAGAGCGATCAGAAAAGGCATTACATCATGCACCACATGCTGCTAGCCTGCAGTATAAGAGAAAGGTTGAAAATAACATGCATAGACTGGAAATTTTGTTATTTGTGTCATGGTGTCCTCTGGATGCACGCGCGCACACACACACACACACTTCTCCAAACCAGTTCACAATCTCGTTCAGAGAACCCTGCAGAATCTGCTGCAGCAAAATTAAAAGGTTTATTGCAGTTGAGAATTGATTTCTATGCCTCCTATCCCCAGCTGAGGTGGGAGAGGTGATGTTCTATGTTACAACAATTTGTAACAGGCTCCAAGGGGCTAGTGTGCAGCCAATGGACCACTGAAATGCCACAACACTCCAGCCACCCACCCTGGTCTCAGACATGTGTCACACTAAGCCAGGGCTGGGCATGATGGCACAGGACTAGCTCTGCACCACCTGGAGTCCCTTACACCAAAAGAATCCTCATATAATGGTGCAGAGTAGCTTTATTGGGGTCAGGAATCTGGGCTCAAACCTACACTTCTGCTACCTCACCCTCAATAATTACAGGCCAAACCCATAGAATCATAGAATATCAGGGTTGGAAGGGACCTCAGGAGGTCATCTAGTCCAACCCCCTGCTCAAAGCAGAACCAATCCCCAACTAAATCATCCCAGCCAGGGCTTTGTCAAGCCTGACCTTAAAAACTTCTAAGGAAGGAGATTCCACCACCTCCCTAGGTAACCCAGTGCTTCACCACCCTCCTAGTGAAAAAGTTTTTCCTGATATCCAGCCTAAACCTCCCCCAAATAGCACCACTGTACACACTAAAACTCTGCGGATCTAGCAGATCCTGTTAGCGAGTGGCTGCAAGAGGCAGGACAAGGAGCATGTGCAGTAGTTCTATGTCCCGAACACTGAGAGAATAACAGTTCTTATGAAAAGATGGTTACCCCCTTAATAAAACAGCTGCTGATCCCCCAAAAGTCAAGGTTACCCTATTACTACATTAACTACCTATCTGCAAAGGGCAGTCCAACTGAAAAGGACTTCATCACTTTTGGTGGGAACACTGCAAAGTTTCACAGTCTAATATGTGGTTCTGAGGGCTGGGGAGGGAAGAACACAAGTCCTGTTTAGGCGACGAGTCGCAGATTGTAAATAGTGCACTGTACTAGTTACTCTTTTGCCTATAGAAGAAAAAATACTGCAGGTAGGGAGAGAAACGTTTATGTCCACGTTTACACTCAGTTACACGCAAGCTAAAAGTAAAGTGCTCCAGAATTTCCAGTCACATAGTGCTGACACTTTTCAGAGTAACAGCCGTGTTAGTCTGTATTCGCAAAAAGAAAAGGAGTACTTGTAGCACCTTAGAGACTAACCAATTTATTTGAGCATGAGCTTTCGTGAGCTACAGCTCACTTCATCAGATGTATACCGTGGAAACTGCAGCAGACTTTATATACACACAGAGATCATGACACAATACCTCCTCCCACCCCACTGTCCTGCTGGTAATAGCTTATCTAAAGTGATCATCAGGTAACTCCATGCTCGCCCCAGGATTGCAAATTCAAACTTGGGTGAAGACACATGAAGGGTCGTGTTTGTGGGGGCATAAGATTCTTCCCTGTTGTCTTCTAAGTGGGTACTGGCAAACAATGGAGTGTAAAAAAGAAAAATTACAAAAGTGTGGTCACTTTCTGATAGTTAATAACTTGATCCCGGAGATAAAGTCGGTAATTGTCAGCCGACACAAGCACAAGGGACTACATGTACCAGATCACAGGTGTCACTTATGCGCCAAAAGGACTGTTGGTAGTATTATACATAAAGCACACAAAACTTCACTGTGAAGAGGACAGGGTTGCTACATACACTGCATACCTGACATTAGCCCACAAAAGCAAGGATATGAGAAGTTAAGCCACTTGGCAATATATACCCTCTCCTCCTTGATCTACAGGCATGTGTCTTAACATTATCACAACTACCATACACCACAACCTGAACTCTTCCCCCTTCAACCGTCTCTTCTCCATACACCCATTCACCAAATTACCCTCACCTAACACAATTAGCTATGGCGGTTTGGTGTAGTGCTGTGTTGTGCTGGGAGAGTATGGTATAGTTTGGTAAAAAGGAGTGATGAAAGGCTGGTATCCCTAGGGAATTAAGCAAAGGTTGTGGGGTGCAGTACTAGGTTGTACTGCCTCACCACTGGGGGAATCCTCAGCTGCTGCCCAGTTAAGGAAGTTTGATAGCTCCTTTGTACCAATGAAGCAGTAAAAAGGAACAGTTATTGGTGACTAAGGCCATGTCTGCAATAGGGCCTTAGGGCAGATGCTTCCTACATCAGTGGAGGGGTTTTTCCATCAGTGTAGATAATCCACCTCTCCGAGAGGTGGTAGCTAGGTCAACCAAAGAATTCTTCCATTGGCCTAGCTATATCTACACCAGGGTTAGGTCAACCTAACTTACAACACTCAGGACACAAAATTTTTCACAGCCCTAAGCACAGGTGCTGGAACTATGGGTGCTGCTGCTGCACCCTGTGGACTGAAGTGGTTTCCATGATCTACAGGGTTTACAGCTTGACTCAATTGCCCTCAGCACCCCCACTAGACAAATTATTCCAGGGCCGCTGGCCCTAAGCAACGTAGCTAGGTTGATCTAATTTTTAAGTGTAGACCAGGCCTAAGACCTGGCCCATAGAATACAGCACAAGTACAGCCACTTCTGGGAGTAAAGCTCTGTGTTCTCTCCCAGTGAAATACAATGCTATCGCTAGAAAGAAAAGGAGGACTTGTGGCACCTTAGAGACTAACCAATTTATCTGAGCATAAGCTTTCGTGAGCTACAGCCGATGAAGTGAGCTGTAGCTCACGAAAGCTTATGCACAAATAAATTGGTTAGTCTCTAAGGTGCCACAAGTACTCCTTTTCTTTTTGCGAATACAGACTAACACGGCTGTTACTCTGAAACCATCGCTAGAAAGGGATCTCTCTTAAAACCTGTGCATGTAAAAACGCAGAACTGGCGGTTTATTACCTAAAGGATAAAACAGTAAACTTTTTCCATGCAGCCTAACTGTATGTATTTTCAATATGATCGCATCTTTGTGGGTAAGACATAAGGTTTATTTTATTTCAAGAGGCAGAGGGATAAACATGTGCAATGGGGAGAATGAAAAATCTGAAACAGGGCTCTGTATTCACAGTGAATCATAGCGGCGCAAAAGAAATAAAATACAAACTACTCATAGAACAGATGCTTCTTTGAGCCCCAAACCCCTCAAACATCTGGAAATTAAAACAGGAGGGGACACTGCAGGGTTATACTGAAGGAAGATGACAGGTCTGAACTGCCTGGATGGCAACTCTTAGGTCAACTGTTGATGGATTAGCTGGCAAAGTTATTTTTAAACAACTTTCCCATTAAAAAGGTAGACTGGGTTTCAGTTTGTTGATCTGGCTGATAAAGGACCATCTGTGACAGCCAGAAATCTAAGGAAAGGTTAAGTTTTCAAACCTTTGCAGCCAAAAGGTGGCTTTCACCCACATGAACACCACCAGCCACAATGAAGGTACAGTCTGAGAACCACCAACACCCAGACATCACAGCATGGGAGGGGCTGTTATGGATGCCAAACATGGTGCTGGTGCAGTTAATTCTTCTTTCACTACAACTTCTATGACTGAGAATATCAGACCAAACAGGCAGTTAAAAAGTGTAATATGTTATTTTGTTTGACAAGATCCCTTAGCTGCATAGCATAAGTGCCAGCCAGCACTCAGACGCATTATCCTATTTCATATTTATATACTGTTACAAAACACGACAGAGTACCTAGAAGCGTTTTAAGAGCTGTATGGCCCCCCCCAAAGGGGAGGGCAGCCTTTGATCCATAAAAGCTTTGTCCCTCTCTTTGCAAGACACCTCAACTAAATCAGGAACTCAGTTAGTTCTTAAAATAGGCTGCTTTTAAGAGCTGTTTCTGAGGATTGTTTTTAAAATCACAATACTTACTTTATAACCATTTAACACTCCCATTGTTTTCACTGTTATCACAGTCATTAGTTCAAAAGGCAGCAGGGCAGCTAAAAGAATGTTAGTTGCACAACATGATTTATGCATCAGTCACATATGGCAGCTGGACTAGAGGCTTTCATTTCATCTCTTCTTCCTTCAAGTGCTAGGTATTATTTACTGTTTGAACAGTTTATTCCCCTTTACACATACACACACACACAAGCACAGGTCCAGCCTCTGACCTATTAGTACCTGCACAACGTTGCTGCCGGCAAACGTGGCTCGTTTCCATATTCGCCCTCCGGTCAAAGCCTCATTTAACAGCTGAGCCAATTTCCGCTCCATCCCAGCCTGAAACACTTCCTCCTGAATTCGCTGGTTGACAACACCCAAGAGAACTACATTAAAAAAAAAATCAACCCAAGAACAAACAAATTAGTAAGAAGCATTAGTGTCTTTTATGCAACTTCAATTGCAGGCCTTGAATCATTCTCTAGAGCCCTCTGCTGGCATAGCATTGAAATATTCATACAGGAATCCCTCCCAGCTCAGCGGGAGATTGCAAGTTGCAATGCAAGACCTTGGAAGAAGGGGTATTAAAAGAAAAAACCGCTGAGGTGATTCCTGGAACTTCACAGGGGCTAGACTGGTCCAGAACAAATGCAGTCATGGGACAGCCCTGCCTCCAAAAAAGCTAAATATATGAAAAAATATATATAATGATATATATCAAAACACAAGCAGCAGAGAGTAAAGAATTCAAAGTTATAACCAATTCCGATTTACCTGCTTTCAATGTTAACCATACTTTGAGTTCACCAGTCACAGAGTCAGGGGTAGGCAGGGATAGGGGATATAAACAGGAAGATAAAAATAGGACAGAAATAGCAGAACAGGTAGGAAACAGAAAGGAGAAGAGTGTATCGTCACCTGTTTCAGACAGCCCCGAGCCTAAGCCTATGAGAGCAGTGGTGCACAGAAACTGGTTAGCACGAGTGGCTTGGACAACCCAGGAGGCAAGTGCTGTAGACACTCCAACCATTAGAGCCACCACGGCAGTTCAGTTAAAGGGGTTACACTAATCATCGTCATTAATGCATACCACATTTAGCAATTCCATCAGTAGTTACTGGGCACAGAAGCCCTTTTTTGGTTCAGACAGGTTCTAACCTCCATGGGCCCATGCACTCCCCTGAAAGGATCCCACAGGTTCTAAAGTCTTTAGGGCTTGTCCATGCTGGGCAGCTGCCTTTCTACTTTGGACCTCACCCTTTTGAATCTGGTCTCCAGCAGGCTGGAATTCCAAGCCCGCACCTGCTACAGTCCTTTAGCTGAGACTTCCTTCCCCAGGCCCCGAGCCGCCACTGTGGCAGCCTCTAGCCATAACTGTGTTCCCCAGAGACTTCCTCGCAGCATTCCCATTTCAGGCTGCTTTTCCTTGGCCTTTTCTTACTGAACCCCATCCCCTGATCTCACATACACAAAGATGCGAGGTTCCTTAACTCAGCCTCCCCTCCGCCCCCTCCTCCTGCTCTTTTCTCAGCATCTCCTCTCTTTCTGCCTCTCTACAGGAAAGCTCCTTTCTTGGTGTGGGCCACATTCCAGGAGCATCTCTTGCTCCCTTCAGGGCCAGAGGGACCACTGCTTCACTCTCCCACTTTCTAAGATGGCTTCCATCACTTGTTCCACCCCCATAATTTGACTGACTAATGGCAATTGACTCAGCCACATAAAAGAGTGTTAGTTTTTGATCAGTCCCAAAGCTGGAGCAGCTCTTTCACTGGCTGGTGAAACAGTAATAGCCTGGCCCTTTAGCGGTCCATGAATGTATAGAAAAGCAGCTGACTCTGTGACTAGCACTACCCTAGTGTACTTCTCAATCACAGGTGCATGGAAAAGAATTTACCTGCTTGTGAAATTTCTATCATAGGAGGATGCTGGACTGACACTCTCAGCAACAGAAATTAATTTATCAAAAATATCCTTCACAAACAGAGCTGGTTGAAACATTTTTTGGATGAAAATTTTCATACAAAATTTTCATTTTGGTCAAATTTTAGTTTTTTCTTGGTTGAAAAAATGGATCAAAAGCTCAGAAGAGTCTGACCAAAAAATTCAGTTTTCAGAAAAGTTTATATATTTTTGGCTAAAATTCTCATTTTTTAATTTGGTTTTCAGTACAAATGTTTGTGTTTCAGTTTTGAATTCTTTTTAAGCCTAAATGATTTTCAAATGCTTTTTTTTTTTTTTTAAGCTTTTTGTTCTAGTTTCTCCATTGGGGGGAAAAAAAAAGTCATAGGAAGTTTTAGATACTCTCTCTCCCCCTCGCCCGCCAAAAAGAAATTTTCCACACAAAATAAGTGGTATCTTTCAACTGGCTCTAATCACAAATGAAGTATCTCAGAATTAAACAGCAATATAAATGATCAGTGATCAAGAACAATTAAATGCAGGAAACTTGACAATATAATTTTTTCACCTTCTTTTAAATTCATATAGATTGAGAATTACAAATAATAGCAGCAAGTGTATTCCACACCAGAAGGACATAGTTACAGAAAGCACTAACTTTCACTGTTTTATGATTATATTCGGGGCAAATTAGGTCAGCTGACTTGGATGAGAGCAATTTGCAGGAAATTAATTTGGGGGGAAAAACAAAATAGGATGGAGCTGCATCATTACAGTCCCTAAAACGGTTTAAATTGTATGGCATCTATTTGTATTCTGTTGCATAGCCGTGTGTGCTTTGGTGAAAGGTGCCATGAATAAATCAAGTGTTAAAAGTTTAAAAAAAAAACATAGCTTCAAAAAAAATAAAATAAAGCAATGTCCAACTTAAATGGCAGTTAGTGTATACAGCACCCTCTGCACACCGGAGCTGTGTTACTGCACTTTGAATAAACTGCATTCTAAATATAAAACAATTTTTGAGCCAATAAACAAGGAATTGCAATAGTTCATTCTACACAAGTGCATTTCCCAGCAGTTCCAGGTTATTCATTCTTTTGCTTTGGAGTTTATTCAGACCTAAATATAGTTATTACCTCAAACCGTAAGCAATCTCAAAAGTTATTAATGTGTTATTTAGGACCCGGCTAACAAAAATGGTCTCACAGCTATCTACCCTTATATAGTCTACATACCTGTTCTCACCCAAGAAGATTTCATCAATTGAGACACATTGAGTTGAGGGTAATGAAAGGCTGGGGGGAAAAAACATCTGTAAGAACTGTATACTCAACAGCACAAAAACAAGAAAAGAGGCTGTTTCATAATTCACATTAAGTCAGTGAACATCTTATTTGCTGATATAACTCTTAGTGCTATACATAAGTGACAGAAAGACATTGCTCTTGATATATATTTTCTGGTTCATACGTCTGAACGTAAAGCATCTGACTAAAGTGGTCAGATTAATTACCTGAAATATTTAACATACCACCCCGACAGCTTTGCTTCTAGAAATATTAAGCAAAGCCTGTTTGGCTAATTTGTCTTTAATGTAAGATGAGATTTTTGTTTGCTAAGATCAGGCTGTACACTGGATGACTCTAGGTCAGGGTTTCTCAAACTTCATTGCACTGCAACCCCCTTCTGACAACAAAAACTATTACATGACCCTGGGAAGAGGGCCCGAAGCCTGAGCCCCACCACCCTGTATGGTGGGGGGGTCAAAGCCAAGGCTCTGCCACCCTGGGGAGGGGCCAAAGCTTGAGGGCTTCGCTCTGGGCTGGGAGGTTGTAACCTGAGCCCTGCCGCCTGGGGCTGAAGCCAAAGCCTGACCTCTGCCACCCAAGGATGAAGAAGCCCTTGGGCTTCAGCTTCAGCCCTTGGTGGTGGGGCTTGGACTTTGGCTTCAGCCCTGGCCTCAAGAAGTCTAACACCAGCCCTGGCAACCCCATTAAAATGGGGTCGGGACTCACTGTTTGAGAACCGCCGCTCTAGGTGAGTCATTCATGGCTTTTTGAGGAAGAAAGCATCTAATTCTTTGTGACTGCAACGAGGTAGAAAAGTTAAGACTTAAGTATAAAAGAGAAAATTGAATGTACCTATTTTGTATTCCAAGCCATAATAAAATAAAATATGCATTAACCATTGTGAAGCTCAAACTGGATTTATGAAAATCATAAATGAATTCCATTGCAAATCCCATGGCATTATGGTTTTATTTTGTTCAATAGCCCAAGTTTTGTCAAAATGACCAGCCTCCTGGAAACGCTAAGCTTCAGAGGTAAAATCCAGGCCTCACTGAAGTTAATGAAAAAACTCCCATCAATGCCTGTGGGACCAGGATTTCACCCCAGATTCCCACTGGAGCAAAGTAAAGAGGCACTGATGAATAGATAAAGACAGAGGCTGGGACTAATTTTCCTGAAAAGAGATCGAAACTTCATGAAAGGAATGGGGGTGGGGGTGGGGGGAGAAGGCATAGTTTTGTCAAAGTTTTCCCTGAATCATCCAAAGTTCTTAAAGTGCTTAACAAAGATAACTTGTTTAAAACACATTTTAAGGATGGGGAGAGTGAGGCACACAAAATTAAACTGACTTGGCCTAAGGTCACAAGGCAAGTCAAAACCAAAAATCAAGGTACCCTGACTTCCAGTTCTGTGTTTTAACCACTACACTATAATTAGTTCAACTGCTGCTGTTGTAGGAACTCAAAGAAACAAAAAAATTATTAACGTTCTAATTTACTCAGTGTGTCTTATTGGCAAGCTACCTAGCTAAGGCCTCTCCCTCTGTGTATAAGGTTGTTCACATAAATATGTTATCTTCCAGAATCTGCTGATTTTTACTATTAAAACCCTGATCACTCTTTTCTCCTCTAATGCAAAAGCAGAAGGGCCTCCAGATATATAGAACCTTTTCTTTAAAGCTCAGGTTTTTGACACCGCACTTTCCTTCTGTACAGTGAAGGAATTTACTCTTTATTCTCTTCTTGTTTAAATTAAATGCCACTGTGCCCAAAAACTGACTTCCAATTCAACATTTTCTGATACCCTTATTCCAGTTTAGTAGCACCTTGCTTCACGGATCGTGCTATTGAGACTTCAATAGGGCCACTACTGTGAAATACAGGAGTGGCCCATGTGCATAAGGGTATCAGAATATGGCCATTTATGTATTTGAATTAAGTATTACATAACAAATGTCGAAAAATCCCACTTACAATGTACAAACAGCAAGCGCCCCGCTTTTTACATTTCTGTATTATATAACAATATATATTGCTGCAGGGTTCTTCTAAACCAAAAGATGAGAGGGTCTGGCTCAGTATAGCTAGAAGGCTGAAGATTGAGGTAAATAAGTGCCTTACCATAGGAAACCAATCTAAAAATATCATCCCGCAAAAAAAATATGTGTAAACTGCAGCTGCACTGGTATTTTCCAAAGCCCAGGAAAAGCAAGATCACAAGATAATTAACCATCTGCCAATGGCAATAAAATTTCGAACTGTTAAGAGTGTTTAATTACTTTCTTTTTTTTAAACAAGGTAACAGTTGTGCTTTGACACTCAATATGATATACCCTTTTTTTCTAATTAGTGCTTGAAAATGATTTAATGTATGCAAATTCCTGTATGCCTAACAAACTTCATACAGAACTAGAAACTTAAAAAAAAAAATCCTTGAGCATCTGATCTTGATGGTACAATGGGAGAAGTGCTCTAATCTTTCAGCCATGCAGTCCTGGGCTGAAAACCTGGTAAAGAGTGCAGGAAAGGATTGGGAATATGTACACGGTACAGCTGAGCTCTGTCCAACTCGCCGCTGTGTTTCATGCTCAGAAGGAGTTCCACGTTGATAATGTTCCCATTGCTACGAAGCCTTTGTAGATGCCACTTGTTTTTTTTGGCATGATCTAGGTAATGAATTGTAAAATGCAAAAACAGAATATAGTACTCTTAAGTGCAATGAAATATGGGCTGGTATTTAAATGCACCTGACACCCATAAGGAGTACTGAATAACCCAAATGTAATTTCTGTTCTTTGTACACACTCCCTCCCTCATACCAGAGGCTCTGTGTGCAACCTTTTCTCCATACTATGGTCTCCCAATCTCCCCCTCTCAAGGCTTTGTGTGCACCTCCATTCACCCTTTCCCCTCTCTAGTCAGCACTGGATTCTACTATTCTAATTAAAAATTGTATTTCTTTTAGAATCCAATAACCATCGTGATTTTAATGGTTTCCTATGGGAGATTTGTTTAAGAGCTCCAGAAAAACTTTGTTCCATTGCCTTTTCACTTTCCTTCAGTTTTTAATGATACTTTGTATTGATTAGCAACATGTTACTGAACAAGAAATGTCTCAGGTTAGAAACCATGATTTGGGGAACATTTACATAGAAAGAACTGAAGTCATAAACCACACGTTATATAGACTATTTTTAAACTATTCCTAAAACAATTCTTCACTCTTTAACCTCTCCCTTAAGCCATCCAATAGAGTGATCTGTCTCCAAACAAAATAAATCACCCAATATATGGGGTTCTGGAAGTTATCAGCCATGCTCTTTATGAAAATAGTTAGGCAGAGAAACCAATAGTCTTACGAAAACGTCCACCGTTCTGCAGAAATGTGGAGGATTAAATAATCAAAAATGGACGAAAAGTGGAGAATTCAAAGAAGTGACCTGACACATCTCATTGATACATATTACTGCACCACTGGGCTATTTATCAGGAGTCCAGTAAGTTTATAAACCAGAACTGAACTGGAAAGGGGAAATTAAAAATAGTTCTTTAATCAAAACAGGCTTTTCTTGAACTTTTTTGTACCGGGGAGGAGGGGTTGGAATAATCGACTCACTTAAATTCAAAAGCCAACCTGTTCACTGAAACCTACCAGCCATGAAGACCACATGTTGTTTCATCTGGTACTGTATTGTATCATATTGTCCTGTACCTTTTCATGCCTTTAAGCCTGCACTCTCTTTGGAACACGAAGCCTTTCATTTGACACAGTGTATCTTTTACAGAACATACAGCACTATCAGTGTTGCCCACTTTCATGATTTTATGGCAAATCCTGTGATATTTGTTGTTCAGAGTCCCAGCTGCTGGAATCATGCGAATGCATAAGAATCTCAGTGCTCGCACTCAAAACAGGAAGTATATTTCTGCAGAATAAAGCGATCCCTAAAGGTTCAGAAGCCACAAAGCAAAGAAAAAGAGCCCAGAGTTTATTATTTTAAAAAGAAACTCATGATTTTTGGAGGGGGTGGGGTGGGGGGTTGATTCATAATTTTTGGATGCCTGGGGACTGGCAACAGAGCACTATGATAATGATAACACTATAATTGTCTTCGTAGCAGTCCACCATGCTCAAGATCCTTGTCAGTCCGGATTATAAAACATACTCTTATTAATTATTTGTATTGCAGTAGCACCCTAGAAAGCCTTGATTAGGTTGTAGTAAAATCTCTGCCTGAATCAGCTTCTAATCTGAGAAACTAAATGTAAACACATGAGCAAGGGAAAAACAAATGGACAGATGGGAGGGGAGATGAAATAACAGACAGGATATTTTAGTAGAGATAAGATGTTAAAATTGCCTAGCACTCTTTAGTACCTTGAAAGAAAAGAGAAAAAAAGAAAAAAGCTGGCAGCTCCCACCCTTGGCCATTCCCACTGCCATTATTCTTGCACAGACCCCTCCACTGTGCAACAGGTACCTTTATTAAAAATAAGAAAGTTACAAAATATCCCGAAGTACCTTACAACCAAACCATGTACTGCATTAGGACTATCCCGCAAGCGTTCGGATTCTGTTTAAGCTTTATGAACAGTCTCCAGTAAAAGGTTTTTATACAGAAGATGATCTAAAATAGACAAAGACTGGGCATAACAAATTTCTTTTTCCAGACACAGTTACTAATATTCAGGCTGTCAAAAGTTTCATTTAATCATGCCCAACAGTTTGAGTTATAATATAAGATTAGCTTTTCCTTAGTTTGAACCAACATCAACTTGCTTGTAACTAAACTCACCTGGAATTTGCAAATCAATCCTTTACTTGCACACTATTTTAAACACATTTATACATAAAAAAAACATATACACAGACAAGACTGATTGAAAAAAAAAACATTGGGAAAAATCTTTGGAATGCATTAAACCACTCTTCATAGTGTAATACTGAAAGTGGTGGGCCAAATAACTAAGAAGCAAATGGCACAGAAAAGTATGCTAGGCAATATG